GTCATGATGATTGCGAAAAAGAGCGGTGTGGATATGAAGCTGCTGCTGGGAATGCACTGGGAGCAACCATACGGATGCATAGCCTCGGACGGTCAAACTCGGTTCAGATAGTTCAGATGCACAGGAGGTAGGCTGGGCCATTGCCGCCCTGGAAGTGCTGCGGTATCATCCGCGTGAGCATGTCATTTCTTGCTGACTCAAGGAAGGCTTGTAGAAACCTTAGGAGCTTTAGGATTTCGAAGGCTTCTGGAAGCCCATGACTCGGCTTTTCCACGCAACCAGCGAAGCGGCTGCTCGGAACATCGCGAGGGACGGCGAGCTGTGCCCGGGTCGGGCGGGGTTTCTGGGCGGGGCAATCTACTTCTCCCGGTCGCCCCATGCAGCGTGCCGCAAGTGCCGCTGCGGGGTGGCAGAGGTCATCATCGAGTGCGAAGTGGACCTCGGCCACCTGCTGGAGGTGGAGCAGCACTCGGCCCAGATCGAGGACGTCCTTGCTATGGGCTACGACTCGGCTGTGGTCATAGGCCTCGATGTCTTCGCTGTTCTCGATCCGGAGAGGGTGCAGATCTTGAGCTACCATGATGCGGACGACGTCAGCGAGCTTGAAGGCGAATGGGCTTCTGGTTTCTAAGCGGGGCTGCACTCTGGGCTGCACTGAGTGAGGGCTGGTGGGGAGACTTCTAGATTTTGCTTTGGAGCCATTTGCAGCTTCTTCGGTTTTAACCGGCGAAGTCTCGAAGTGGCTCAAGGCTGCACGCCTGGCGTGCACAGGAGCACGGGTATCGCGGGGTCCACCTACCTTGAATGTCGGATCGATAGCTCAAATACCCAGCACCCCTGAACGATGATGTAACTAGGCTTGGCAGAGCCAAGCACCTCGACCTTTCCTCTGTGCTTAAGCTGCGTTCAGAATTGAACTTAGAGTCTGCCTGACTGTGGAGGCGGCAGCGACAGCGATGCTCAGCTGCAACCAGAGGCTGTGTATCTTGCTCCCCCATGCGATGCGATATGGCCTTGTTGCAAGCCTGCGTATGCAAATCCTAACTACGGGTTCTGTCCAGACCCTCGACTCAGTCGAAAATGTGTCGCGAAGGACCGGCATGTGATAGGCCTGCTTGGAGGTAGGATGCAGTGGTTGGCCATATCCTTCTGCCCGCGAACGAGCGAAGCATAGCGAAACTGAGTCGTCGTGAGCAGCATGGAACACTGGAGACTGAAAGTTTGTTCCTCTAAGGGTTTGCGGAAGGAGACAGCCATTGAGCGTCGCAAAGCAAGTCGTGATAGGTTTCCGAGAATTATCCGGGCGCCAAACCGGAGCATGACTCCAAATCTACGCTTGGACCCATGGGCCCCTAGTATGGG